TGTCTCAAGTTGAGATCAAGACTGGACCCGTCTAGTTCGGCCCATGAGGCCTATTTTTTGGGTTCGATTTGATAATCTGAACCGTTCAATGTGTAGAACTCGTCGAGTACTACATACCTGTAAAAAATCACTTTAATCGGATATCAATAACTATATGATCAAATCAGTTTTGTATAAAAAAAAAATGGACGGTAAAAAAATTAACGGTTGATAAAAAACTGTTTTGTTCACATAGCTATCGATATCCGATCAACGTGATTTTTTACAGGCATATAGTACTCGACGAGTTCTACACATTGAACTGTTCGGATTATCAAAATGGGACCCGTGGTGGGCCCCCACGGGCCTAACAGCACGGTCCAGTCCGATCTTGGACTGGACCAAAGCCACTGCCATTTCAAAATGAATGAAATAAATTTGGTTGTTGATTTCTGAATATATTGCACCTATTTGACACTAGTTTCCTGGATGAGGATTGAGAACAAGAAAAGAAAAAAAAAATCAATTTCTACAAATAAAAGATTACCATTTTATCATTGCATTGGTTGTAAACGGTCATATTCTTTTCTAAATTTATACTTCTATTATTTTGCAAATCTTTCATCACACAAATTAAGAATAACGGAAGGAACAATAGAGTGCAACTATGGTGAGAGCGAAAAATAATGGAGGAACAATGTAGGACTAGCTTGATGTGTGTGTGTGTGTGTGCATTTTTTTTTTTTTTCAAATGATGCGCACTGAGAATTTTTATTTCCAAAGATGTGTACAGTGAAATTTTAGTTTTAAGATTTGCTGGGTATTGATGTCTATAGTGATCATTTTAATGGTAAAATAGTAATAAAAATTTAATTCATTAAGTGCGTGCACAAAGAGTAAATAATGTGTGGAAATAGAATTACCCCAAATCACTGTCACGTGGTTGACAACTTGCCACCACAGGTGGTAAATGACATTTTTGCCCATTTATACCAATTTTGAGAAAACGTGTATGTCTTAGGTTGGGGACAAATTTGTTATTTTAGCCTTAAACATTATTTCAAACACATTTTTCAATACAATAATCATCCAAAAAATTCAATCCCACTTTCCAAACATAAAAACTAAATAATCTATTAAAATAATAAAATAATCCCCCAAAAAAAAGTCACTTCCCAAATAAGACCCTATATAGCCCACATACAATTAATAGATTAAAAGCTCGATCCGCATAAAATTGGGTAAAAAACAAATTGTCCAACCTATTTATAAGGGCATCTCCAACGGTACATCATTTTTTTTCACCAAATTTGATTAAAAATTGAGTAAAAACTCTCTTTGATATTAAGTGCTCCAACGGAGGATTTTATAGTTTCATCAAACCACCGGTCGACTAGGCGGACGATTGGCCGATTGACCAGCTAATGTAATTTTTTCACAATTTTTGCCTTGAGATGATCATTTGAGCCGACGTTCAGCAGTAAAAATCAACAACAATGAACAGTGATTTGATGAAATGCACATCAATTCTCAATTTGATGAAAGAAAAATGAAATTTTGAATTTAATAATGAATTTGATGAACCGTTGAAAGAATAAAATATAATTTTTTTTATTAAATTTAAATTTAATGATAAATCTAATCAACTATTGAAAATAATCTAAGGTGTTAAGCGTAAGTGCAAACCCTATAAAATTATAGACTCTTGTCACCTCAATTTTATTGCCTTGTTAAGCCCTAGAAAATTGTAGACTTTATGGAGAGAGTTTTGCCGGCCATCAATCTTACGTCCACCTTAATTTTAAGGAGTTTTTTGTCATATTATCTTTATATTTTTTAGGCTCAATAATGATTCAGAGCACTAATTTTAATACTTTAATGGAATACTAATGACATAATAAGGAGAAAAAAAAATTAAGACCAAAACATCACATCATAGTAAGTAGAATTTACTGCCAACTCATTAAAAGTGACTTTAGAGCTCAAGATTTAAAGCTCTAAAACATTTTTTTTAGGCCCTTACAAAGGCTAGGATTACCCTTGCAAATATTTCCCTTCTAACATAGAAGTGTATCATATATGATGACTTATTTTGAAGAAAAAAAAAAATCAGTTCCGATTGATAGCTCGAAAATTATGAGGTTCGAATGGCCCGAGTCCAAAACGACAACATTTTGATTTTTTTTTCTTTTGCCTTCTCGTTTTTCTGAAGATGAAGAACAAGAAAGAGAAAAGAGAGAGCTGGAGAACACAAAGAGAGAGAGAAAGATACACATCATCATCAACAACAACATCTTCATCAACACATCATCATCATCAACAACAGCTTTATCAACATCTTCATCAACATCATCATCATCATCAACAACAACATCTTTACCCAGTCGACTTCGTCAAAAACACGTCAATAACAATTTTTTTTTTTTTTTTTAAAAAAAAAAAGAGAGAGAAAACAAAGTCTGAAAGAGGAGATCGAGATACCCACCGGTGCCGCCACCATCACTGTCGATCATCTTTTCTCCTTCTTCTCTCTCACCTCTTCTCTCTTCCTCTTCTCTCTTCTCTCTTCTCTCTTCTCTCTCTCTCTCTCTCTCTCTCTCTCTCTCTCTCTCTCTTCTTCTCTTCCCTCTGTCTGAAGAATACCCAAAACAAGAGGCAAGCGTTGTTTTGGGTATTCGAGCCACTTTTAAGCCATATTTTTCGAGTTACGAAGTATTATTGAAAACAAATTTCACTTTTTTAGGCACCCTTACATAGATAATTATCACATAGATCCCAAACATCATGTACTAATGTACTAATAATGTTATGTGATTTACCTACATTATTCTTATTTTAGACCATTAAAGCATAGAGTTTATTAAGGGTGTTCAGCAGATATTCTGATCCACCTAAATTGACTAATTCGAACCAATTCATCGCATTTTGGACAAATGCATGACGACGAGCAGACAATTGCAGATTTATTTTTTTCAATCCGCTTAGTTTTGAATGGATGAAGAATTTGAGATTCCTTTAACAACAACTGAACTACTAAACTATAAGCACCCCTAGTAATTTGTAAGACTTTGTATTTTTAATTTATTAATATTCTATTAGTGTTTTCAATTGAAAAATAATTTAGATATTTTGTTATGTTTTCAATTTGTTTTCAATGTCAAAATCCTTTTATCAAATGACAAGTGTTAATATTTGGTATTTTTGTGTGAAAAATATAAGACTTAATTTTGTCATTTTAAAAAAAATAAATTAAATAGTTTTTGAATAAAAAAAAAGAAGTAATGAAATAGTTTTGATAATGGATGATTTGCTTATATGTATTTATTATTGATATTTGACAATTTACATAATTTTTTGGTTATGTTGAGGTGGATTATTATCCAAAAAAAAATGTTAACAAGTTGTTGTATTATGTTTAAAATTTGTGAAAGTTTAAATCGCCAAACTGATTCGCATTCATCTGCCAATTCATCAATCCGCTCAATCTACATCTATCAATCTGGCGAACGGATGCGGATTGATTTTTTTCAATCTACCAATTTAGCAGACGAATGGCGAATTGGAGGTTTTCCTGCCACAATCGAACCGCGAGCACCTCTAAAGTTTATTGTTAAGGAAGACAAACATTTAACGTGTTGAAATACTAAGGCCTATTTTGGAAAGTAAGTTAAAAGTCACTTCCCAACTGTTAACTCACTTTTCTCTTTCACAAAAAAGTCAAAAATACAATTTTTAACCATCTTACTAAAACGCTCCTAAGTAACTACTTTACCCCTTAATTAGCTAAAATAGTAGGTTAGACTAAAATGAGATGGACCATATTTAAAGTGAAAAAAATTAACTATTTTAATCAATAAAAAATACTTTATTAATGTGTGAATAAAATTAGACTCGATTTATTGTATTTGTGAGAAGGCAATAATTTATGGAGAAATATATTAGGGCCAAGTTTGACTATCCTAAATAAGTACACACTTTTATCTTTTTATCTTTTTTTATCACATCATCTCTCTACTTTTCTGCACATCCTTTCGTAAAAAGATAAAAAAATACACTTATTTAGGTCATCTCAAACAACCCTTAGATGTGATGTGAACATATATTATTTCAATTTCAATTATCAAAAATGGGCTTGTTCAAGTTTTTAAACCACTGCCATTAAGGATAGTTTTGAGAAGTTGTTTAAAAATTGATTTTTTAAATTTTTTATAAAATTTATGTAAAAAAATAAAAAATAATATAATTTAAAATAAATTAAAAATTAACATTTAACTCCCTTTTCAAAACAATCCTAATCGACCACGGCCCAAGCCAAGCTCATATAGGCCACATCCACTACAGCCAAAAGCCCAATTGAAACACTTTCGTAATTCGCAAGTCTTCGCTATATGGCGTGTGGATTACCATACAAATTTCTGGACCAGAATTTTGCAACACCGCCTCTTAACCTTTGATTATTTTATTTCCCTCCCAATCCAATCCAATCCAATCCAATCAAAACCCCAAAACCATACCCAAACACCCCCCTTTCTCTCTCCCTCTCTCTCTCTCTCTCATCTTCTTCTTGTCCTTCATCTTCTCCCTCTGTACCAAGCTCTGTGTATGAGCACATCGATGGAGAGAGCCGTAGTTCTTCGCTCTCTCTCATGTACTCCACTCGTCTGCACCAGAATCTTCTCTCGCTCTTCTCACAACATCACTCGTCTCTCTTCTCTCTCTAGACGCCACCGTTCCATCCCAAACCTCCATAGCCGCTTTCTTATTCGGCACCATCTGAGGCTTCTCTCCACAGCCTCCTCACCCCCTTCGCTTCTGAGAAGCCACTTCTCGAGTCTCTCTACCAGAGCTATTGCCACTCCACCTACACAGCCCTCTCCAGGTAACCCTATCTTTGATTGTAATATATATATATATATATATATATTTTGGGGCAATGTTTGTTGTGACAGCACAGTGCTGTCACAGCACCTGCCCCGCGTCCTCTTGTCACTGGGATGTTAAGAAACATACGTGACAGCTGCATCATTTAGTCATCAGAGTGTAAATCAAGAGCTGTTCTTTACAAGCATAAGAAGACCGGTGCCGAAATCATGTCAGTCTCCAATGACGATGAGAATAAGGTCTTTGGTATTGTTTTTCGCACTCCTCCGTAAGTATACAATTCAGATAGTGGGACTATTGGTATTCAAATTCAATAAGATTATGCCTTTGTTATTGCCAATTGATCGTTTTGTTTTTAGATGGGATATTAAATTTTGATTTGGGCTTGGCGTTGAGAAACTTGAAATGGTTAGGCAGTGTTTGGTTGGAGAGGATTTGATGAGTAACATGGAAAAGAAAAAGGAAATGCAATCCGAGTTTGGTTTGGTTATAATGGAAAACACATGGGAAAGGAAAGTGTAAAAATGAAGTGCGAAAATGAAGTGACAGGGAAATGCAATGCCACTTTTTATCTTTTGGTTCACTTTTGTCTGTGTTTGGTTCATGAATTTGGAGAGAGATTTGGAAAAGGAAATGGAAAATTATGTGAAATGTAATTATATTTCATTCATATCTCACCTATATTTTCCTTTTTTTCCTTCCAAGTCCCTTCCAAAGCCATGAACTAAACACAGCAAGCTCTTTTCTTTCTCCATTTCCTAACTCAACCAAACATAACTTGGAATTTGAGTCCTATCAATTCTTTCTATTTACCTTTCCCTTTCCCTTTTCATTTTCCTCATCAAATCCTCCAACCAAACACACAACCTTAAGGTAATTGCTTTCCAAAGTATAAATTGTGATGTTGGGAAAGGAGTTGAATGGGCATTGTGGGTAGTGCTAATCAGGGTCAGTGGAGAGTGGAGGCATACACCAGGACAGATGGAATGGCTGGGTGAGAAATAGAGCAGCCCAATAGAGAGAGAGGCTGGAGATGGTAGTGTGAGAAAATACACAAATTGCTGAGCTCAAGAATGATCTATCTAGGGTTGTGTGTAGAAATCTGTTGTGATGTAAAGTAAGGAGCACTACCTCCTATTTATAGGACTGTAACAAACTTCTCAGATATATCGGAATTCTATTAGTATATGCCAGCTAATGAGTATATCAGTCTGTTAGGATTTTCCTTTATCTTCAAGCCTTCATACATTAATCTAGCAACGTGTTTTTCTTTTCTCTCTAGCTACCAAGCCACTAAATTCCAGTCTTGCAGTGTGTTTGCTAAAGACTTTAATATACCGAAGTTAGGTTTCTTGACTTAGGTATGTAAGAATGGTGCAGTGCAGGAACTGCGGTATTGAAGTCAAGTAAGATTACTTGACTGCACTAACTAATGCTTGCATGGTATGAACTCCCTTTTTGGACTTTGGTCCATTTTCTCAAGTCTTCCCGATCATCCCAAACATTTAAGTTTTTTTTACCTACCTTTTTAGCCAAATAGCCAAAAAGTTACTAAATTAGCCTGTTCCCAAACGAGGCCTAAATTCCAGTCTTGCAGTGTGTTTGCTAAAGACTTTAATATACCGAAGTTAGGTTTCTTGACTTAGGTATGTAAGAATGGTGCAATGCAGGAACTGCGGTATTGAAGTCAAGTAAGATTACTTGACTGCACTAACTAATGCTTGCATGGTATGAACTCCCTTTTTGGACTTTGGTCCATTTTCTCAAGTCTTCCCGAGTATACTGCCTAGGCACATGTCCTTATTAAAGGCTGCCACATGTAAGTCCCCAATCCGATGTGTAAAGTACACAGTGCCATTATGTGTGCACAACACGTGAAGGTGTTAGAGATATCCACAAGCATATGTATTTGGGTAATTTGAACAATAGCAAAATGCTCAGCTTTTGTGGTGCCATTAGTGATACAACAAATATCTGGTGAATCGTGGCTAGAGAATCGTTTGTTAGTTACTTTGTATAGTTGGTTCGAGAGAAGAGTGGATCCGGATTTATTTGCTTTTTTAGACTTTTTGGATGATGATAATGGTTAGGTGTTTGAGTTCTCTTTGATATTTTGCATTCTTGTATTCTTTGCATCGTCTTGATGCTCTTTCAATAAAGTATTCTTATTTATCAAAAAAAAAAAAAAAAAACAACAAAAATCTGGTGAATCTGTCTATTGTAAATCTCCATTGAGCACTTGAGATTTAAATTTGGTAAAATATATTAAAAAAAAAAAATTCACCTCCTTCCTGCCTGCATATCAAACTAGAAGTTGTGAACAAAATGGCCATTATCAGTGAATATATCCATGTTTCCAGTGTATTGAGTGGTCATAGGTTGTGTCCTGGAACCAATTAATTCATTTAGGCAATCCTTTAAAAAGTTTATTGGTTAAATGAATTGTTGCTGTGTGTTGAGAATCCTTAAATGAGTAGCAAGCTTGAGCAAAATCTTAAAGGCCAAGAAGAATGTGGTTTGTTGATCCAAATTTACGTCTGCAATCTTGAGGTTCTATATTTAATTTGAGTGGGCTTTGAACTGTTGGTGTAAATGTTACCATTGCTCTGATTAAATTGTAAATGCAGGAAAGATTCCACTGGAATTCCTCACATATTGGAACACAGCGTATTGTGTGGTTCAAGAAAGTATCCTTTGAAAGAACCGTTCGTTGAACTCTTGAAAGGGAGCTTGAACACATTTCTGAATGCATTCACCTACCCTGACAGGACTTGCTATCCAGTTGCTTCCACAAATTCAAAGGTAAAATAAAATCTATCTACAAAGTTTCTGGAATAAAAAATGTGGATGCTTTTCTCTCTTGGATCGAGTTTCACATTAATGTATTGTCATTATTTTCTAAACAGGATTTCTATAACTTGGTAGATGTATACCTGGATGCTGTCTTTTTCCCTAAATGTGTAGAGGACTTCCAGACTTTTCAACAAGAGGGTTGGCATTATGAGTTAAACAACCCTTCAGAGGACATAACTTATAAAGGTGGTTTTTTATGATTTTTTCCCCCTCTTCCTTGTGCAGTCTTTTGTATTTTCTGGTCTTGTTGTGCAATCACGTAAAACTAGTATTTTCTTTCTAAACGATTTCATGGTCAACAACAGGGGTTGTTTTTAATGAGATGAAAGGTGTATACTCCCAGCCTGATAACATACTGGGCCGGGCATCACAACAGGCAAGTATTCTGCTCCTGGTCATGAATGTATTTTGATACTTAATAAATTGCAGAGTTATTGTCAAACAGGATTTGTGCATTATTGAATTATCTAGGACATGAGATTAGTTACTGTAGATAGTCAGATGCGATTATGTTCCTTTTGTCATTTCCAAAATGGTCATCTCTTGGATTCATTTATTTTCCTTTTCTGAGCCTTGAGAGTATGAAAAGTTCATTTTTGGCTGTTGTTATTTATCCTTTTTTTTTTTTTCTTTTGCAAAGATACTTGGGAAATGTTACTCAAAATTTAAATTGCTTGGCTTCAAATTATTTTTTATTCTATCTCACTTTATGTGGGACTAAAGTTGTTAGTTCCTTTTTGGTTGTGCAACAAACTCATTTCATAGGCACTTCTCGCTTGATTTAAAATTATCAAGCTACCAAATAGACTGCCGGATGCATTATTTTTTACTCAATACCCGCTGTTAAGAAGTTGTGACCAATATTTAGGCTTTCTGATTGTATCTCCTACTTTATCATATTTGGATGATCGCATGTCTGCTTATAGAATGTGGTTCAATTCTGTGAATGATACTCTTACTAGTGCTTATCATGGATTGCCTCCATTCTGTTTCTGTTATGTTTTATCTTGTTCTGTAAAAATTGGAGTAATATATTTTGTTGATATCTCACACGGTCTGAGTAAAACAATTTTATTGATGATGTTGCACTATATTCCTGACAGGCTATTTTTCCAGACAATACATATGGTGTTGATAGTGGGGGTGATCCACTAGTTATTCCCAAGCTCACATTTGAGGAATTCAAGGTTTGTTGCCTAAGAAGTTAATTTACATTTTTTCCAGAATTTTGTTATAAAGGTTTCTAGTTTTCTTCAGTTGGACTTCAAATTTTAATTTTAATTTTTTATATTCCTATTGTTAATGCACATGCTATTTTAGCACATTATCCTATTTGGGTCAAATCATCTTATTTGGGTCACATCACCGCTTTACCACATCACTTCAAACTCAATCCATATTTCACGTTTTTTCATAAAAAGTATACTAATCTAGCACTTCCCAAACACCCTCCTAAATTTAATTTACTATGTGCTGGGACCATTGTCCAATTGATGTGATGATTATGATTTCTTATTGGGGAAATAAATTAGGTCTTGGGTAGAACTATTTGTTGAGATATATAGAAAATCAAAATTTTTATTAAATTAATCCAAAAGAGGTTGATATTTTATTTCTTCAATAAATTGACTTTAATTATCAAGGTACTGTGACTAATGCACATTTTGTATAATGTGTGTGCTATGTGATTGCATGGTATTGCAATCATGAATATGAAGCATGGAAATGCTACCATGGTGGAAGTATCCATTATTATGTTGTTCGTAATTATGATGTTTTGCAGCGTCTGTTGAAAGTTTAGATTCGAAGAGATTAAGTGGAAACCCCAAAATACAAATTCTGCACCTTCTATGCTGTAGTTGTGCTGCAATGGATACCTACTGTACATCTCAATATTTTGTTATTTGTTTTTTGGGTTTCATGCGTTTTGTTTCTGTAAAAACTGCAGGAGTTTCACCGTAGATATTACCATCCCAGCAATGCAAGGATTTGGTTTTATGGTGATGATGACCCCAATGAACGTCTTCGCATTTTGAGTGGTATTTTTCCCTTTGCTCTAATTATAAATGTCAACTGTTTTTTTTGTTTGTTTTGTTTTGTTTTCTTCTTTTTTTTTAAAATTAAATGTAAACTATACCAATTGTGCATTTCCCTAAAAGAATATTGGAAAGGATATTATCCCTGCAAATATTAGCTGCATTTAGGAAACTTCATTGGTCTGGCCAGCAAACCAGAGGTTAAGCCATGAATCACATGCTTTTCTACCTCTACGCCTGGCTTAGGTAAAAATTGACATTGGGTCAAATCATTAGTGCTGAAAGTTCATGAGAATTGATTTTTTTTTTTTTTTTTAATGTAGTAATTGTAATCTAGTATTGACAAGCTATGCATACCTAATCTTTCTATTGCTTTATTTATTTTACTTAATGATGAGACTGGGAATCTGGCAACTTCATGTCAAAATGCAGCATCTCATGCTTCCCTTTCCTTATACAGAGTATCTAGATATGTTTGATGCAAGTTCTGCTCCCAGCGAATCTAGAATTGAGCCACAGAAATTATTTTCAGAACCAGTCAGGATTGTTGAGAAATATCCTGCTGCTGAAGGTGGTGACTTGAAAAAAAAGCACATGGTTTGCCTTAATTGGTTGCTCCATGATAAGCCTCTAGACTTGGAAACTGAGCTAGCACTGGGGTTTTTGGATCATCTAATGTTGGGTACACCTGCATCTCCTTTGAGAAAAATCCTGCTGGAAAGTGGTTTAGGAGAGGCCATTGTTGGGGGTGGGGTTGAAGATGAACTTCTTCAGCCCCAGTTTAGTATTGGATTGAAGGGTGTCTCTGAAGATAACATTCCAAAGGTAGAAGAATTGATCGTGAATATGCTTAAAAATTTAGCAGAGGAAGGATTTGATTCAGATGCCGTGGAGGCATCCATGAATACAATTGAGTTCTCTCTTAGAGAAAACAATACTGGGTCGTTCCCTCGTGGCTTAGCCTTGATGCTTCGCTCCATTGTAAGTATGCTTTGTGGTTGTTGCTGTTTGCCAAAATGACATTCCTTTTGTTCCTCCCTAAATCTGAAAGACGGTTTTTTCTTTTTTTTGGTGTGAATTTTTGTTTTACAGGGAAAATGGGTATATGATATGGATCCATTTCAACCATTAAAATATCAGAAACCCCTGATGGAACTGAAAGCCAGAATAGCTGAGGAAGGCTCCAAATCTGTTTTTGCTCCTTTAATAGAGAAATTCATTTTAAATAATCCTCACCGTGTAACCGTAGAAATGCAGGTGAGCAATTATCTAAGAATTTGAGTTATTGTTAGTAATACTTCTATTCTGGTTGTAACTTGTATAAAACAACATTGGGTGTTTATTTATTTTTTCAGCCTGATCCAGAGAAGGCTTCTCGAGATGAAGCGGCTGAGAAAGAAATTTTAAGTAAAATTAAAGCCAGTATGACTGAAGAAGATCTTGCTGAGCTGGCACGTGCCACACATGAGTTACGATTGAAACAGGAAACTCCTGATCCACCAGAAGCTTTGAAAACTGTACCAAGCCTCTCTTTAAATGATATTCCAAAAAAACCCATATTTGTTCCCACAGAGGTAATCATGGTTCTAATTATCTTGCAGTTGAAGATCCAGATTGTTTCTATCAGGTTTGGAGAATCTGACTGAACTAATGAGCTTGCATTCATTGATTGTAGGTTAGGGATATAAATGGGGTGAAGATTTTGCAGCATGACCTCTTCACCAATGATGTGCTGTACACTGAAGTTGTCTTCAATATGAGCTCACTGAAGCAAGAGCTTCTTCCTCTTGTACCACTTTTTTGGTGAGATGCCTTGAACATCTCATTAATTTTTTGTTTCTTATTTAGTAGTGAAGTGCTAAACCTGCTTTTAGGATTTTGCAACCTGTAAATTGCCTAGTAATTTCTCTCATCACAGCACTTTTTGGTTGTAAATTTAGTTGGATGAGTTCTTAATCTTCATTACTACACGTCCATTTTAACCCCCTCCCTCCTCAACCCTCAAATGAAAAAAAAAGAGAGAAAATAAAGGATGACAGAATATGAATAATGTATACCATAGTATTGCTCGTCTTAAGTTTGCAAAGTTTTATCCTTTCTACTGGAACTCAGAATAAATAATCTTGTTGGTGATTCAGCTGATTTGAGGGCTCTTTTGTCTTTTGAAATATTCTCACAGCTCAATTGTGGACAAAACCCCTAGCAACCTCAACAAGAGATCAAGTGTGTGGCAAGAGTCCCTGGCCCCTAGGCTACAACCTCCAATGTACCAAAAAAAGAAAGAAATATAACTATGCTGGAACTGTGATAACTTTCCACTTAAGCCAAGCTCATCTTTGCTGCATCAGTTTCCTTCTTCTCTATTGTCTTTCAAATCATTCATCTCAACATTGGTTCCATCATGCTCATTGCTCACCACTTACAGACATTTCATTTCTTGATGACTCAACATTTTATTCTATGACGCATAGCTCTTCTTGTGGTTTTCTATAGATTTTTTTCTCTAAATCAGACATCCTCCTCATAGCTGTGGACATCCGAGCAAAGAAAACACATCGGTCATGTTTGTGATAAAAAACAGAACTCATGGAACCCCTTCTTTTACATGTCGTAAGGCACATCAATATACCTAGTTGGCACTCCCATCCTTCCTTAATGTATCACATTTCTCTATTGGGTGTTTTGTGTTTTCTAGGTTAATGTGTATCACAGGAGGGTCCTTTTGTTTTGTGAGGCTTTTATAGGTCACCCAAGAAAGAAACATCCATTTCGAATATCCTAGCATGAAAGGCAAACTTATTTTTTCATATGCTCGGGTCCTGTCTTAGATTTACTCAATCAGTTTGTTAGGTAATAGAGGAGAGCTTAGATAGACTCTAGCTTAAAACATTTAGTCAAACATTCGAAAATGGACTCTGAAATTAGCATGCTAACATGATATAAACAAAACAATAAACAACAGAAGAAAAAAGATCTTATACTTGTTTACATATTTGGCCAACTAAAATTGACTGAAATGTTTTGCTTGGAAAGTTTTAACTGTGGCTACTCATATTGCTCAACAGTCAATCATTGCTGGAGATGGGCACAAAAGACATGGATTTTGTGCAACTTAATCAGTTAATTGGAAGGAAAACTGGAGGAATATCAGTATATCCTTTCACGTCATCAGTACGGGGGAAGGAAGATCCGTGTAGCCATATAATTGTTCGGGGAAAAGCCATGTCAGGACGCACTGATGATTTGTTTAACTTGGTATATCATTGTTTTCAAGTTTTGCAAATGAATATGCTATTTCATAATTATAGTTATAGTACATATTCTATCTCTATAGGGGGTGTCCTTTATATTTGTGTGCCCATATGGACTGTGATTATGTATGCTTGTACTGAAAATGGTAAGAGTAACTTGGAGTAGGAGTTAGGAGCATCTTTGGTTATTGGCAAAGGGATAATCTTCTCGTCTTTTGATTGTTTCTATTAGAAATTTTGTTGAATGAAAAAAGGAGTGCAACCCTAAGGAGAGGCAATGTAGAGTATGGGATTGCATAATGTGAAATTGCATATGGATACATTGCTCACCTAATGATCTTCAAAGCAATGTAGAGTATGAGATTGCTTAATGTGCATCCTATAATTGCTTTTCTCAAAATAAGAAATCATTTTGAAACATGGATACTAATTGAGTCATAATGATTGGAAAATAATATGCAATGCATATTACTTTTTTTGCACTTAGTTACGTTTTGTCCTTAGTCTTTCTCCATGGTTGTTACATGGGTCAGAGTCTGTTGGGTGGCGTACTGCCTGTTTTATTTCATACATGTTTTTGTGTACTTGTATATATTTATAATTGTTCCCTCAGTGATCTTCAGGGCAGTGTAGAAGATTGGACTGCTTAATGTGAATTTTTTGATTGGTTTATTGTACCATAGCTGGTAGAGGTTTAACTACTTCATGCCTACCACCAAAGGATACAATGTTTACATCTTTTTGCATTGGTGGAAGTGTTCTTTAGAATTTGGTACTATTATTCAAGTTTTTATTACAAATTTTATTATTTATAATGTACTTATACAAAAACTATTACATAGGATGTGCTTCAGGGACATAGGTTTCTGAAATTACATGTGTAAGAATTAGTTTTCTATTTCCCATGATGTATGGTCAGGCCTACTAAGCTCTCACTGTGGATAGGTTTTTATTATTTATTATTTCTGCCATGATATGAGGCTTGTTCTGTGCTTCCTGTGTTCATTAACATACCGTGATACTTAAGTTATTGCTCTACCTTTTGATTTAATCTATAACTTACCCTTTGAGCAAGCAATAGCCTGCTGATAATAAATTGAGGAGCTCATATACATTGGTTGGTTGTAGGTCAACCGCATTCTTCAAGATGTTCAATTTACAGACCAGAAGCGGTTTAAGCAGTTTGTTTCCCAAAGCAAGGCTAGAATGGAGGTATATATCTTGCAGTTTTTGAACAAATTATCATTAAAAGTGAACTTTATTAATTTTTAATTAATTAATTAATTCCATGAGTTGTTTCATTATCAGAACCGATTAAGAGGCAGTGGTCATGGTATTGCAGCCACAAGGATGGATGCAAAGTTAAATGTTGCAGGGTGGATTTCTGAACAAATGGGTGGCGCTAGGTTAGCTATCTGGACTGTTATCTATTGATTTAAATTGCTTGTTTGACTGAATGGTGTATAGTAGTGTCATTTGTCCGCTTGTTGAAATGCAAATGACTTAGAAAATATGAGGAAGAAGAACTCCGAAAATATAAGGAAGAAGGAATATATTTCTGTTATATTCAAAACTTCTTATCTTACAAGACCAAACGACACTCCTTATATAGGAGATATTACAAACATCATTATAACCCATTATATGCCACTTACATATTATATATTACCACTATCTACCACTATCATATTATATACATGCCACTATCTACCACCAACACCACTATCATATTATATACATGCCACTATCTACCACCAACACCACTATCATATTATATACATGCCACTATCTACCACCAACACCACTATCATATTATATACATGCCACTATCTACCACCAACACCACTATCATATTATATACATGCCACTATCTACCACCAACACCACTATCATATTATATACATGCCACTATCTACCACCAACACCACTATCATATTATATACATGCCACTATCTACCACCAACACCACTATCATATTATATACATGCCACTATCTACCACCAACACCACTATCATATTATATACATGCCACTATCTACCACCAACACCACTATCATATTATATACATGCCACTATCTACCACCAACACCACTATCATATTATATACATGCCACTATCTACCACCAACACCACTATCATATTATATACATGCCACTATCTACCACCAACACCACTATCATATTATATACATGCCACTATCTACCACCAACACCACTATCATATTATATACATGCCACTATCTACCACCAACACCACTATCATATTATATACATGCCACTATCTACCACCAACACCACTATCATATTATATACATGCCACTATCTACCACCAACACCACTATCATATTATATACATGCCACTATCTACCACCAACACCACTATCATATTATATACATGCCACTATCTACCACCAACACCACTATCATATTATATACATGCCACTATCTACCACCAACACCACTATCATATTATATACATGCCACTATCTACCACCAACACCACTATCATATTATATACATGCCACTATCTACCACCAACACCACTATCATATTATATACATGCCACTATCTACCACCAACACCACTATCATATTATATACATGCCACTATCTACCACCAACACCACTATCATATTATATACATGCCACTATCTACCACCAACACCACTATCATATTATATACATGCCACTATCTACCACCAACACCACTATCATATTATATACATGCCACTATCTACCACCAACACCACTATCATATTATATACATGCCACTATCTACCACCAACACCACTATCATATTATATACATGCCACTATCTACCACCAACACCACTATCATATTATATACATGCCACTATCTACCACCAACACCACTATCATATTATATACATGCCACTATCTACCACCAACACCACTATCATATTATATACATGCCACTATCTACCACCAACACCACTATCATATTATATACATGCCACTATCTACCACCAACACCACTATCATATTATATACATGCCACTATCTACCACCAACACCACTATCATATTATATACATGCCACTATCTACCACCAACACCACTATCATATTATATACATGCCACTATCTACCACCAACACCACTATCATATTATATACATGCCACTATCTACCACCAACACCACTATCATATTATATACATGCCACTATCTACCACCAACACCACTATCATATTATATACATGCCACTATCTACCACCAACACCACTATCATATTATATACATGCCACTATCTACCACCAACACCACTATCATATTATATACATGCCACTATCTACCACCAACACCACTATCATATTATATACATGCCACTATCTACCACCAACACCACTATCATATTATATACATGCCACTATCTACCACCAACACCACTATCATATTATATACATGCCACTATCTACCACCAACACCACTATCATATTATATACATGCCACTATCTACCACCAACACCACTATCATATTATATACATGCCACTATCTACCACCAACACCACTATCATATTATATACATGCCACTATCTACCACCAACACCACTATCATATTATATACATGCCACTATCTACCACCAACACCACTATCATATTATATACATGCCACTATCTACCACCAACACCACTATCATATTATATACATGCCACTATCTACCACCAACACCACTATCATATTATATACATGCCACTATCTACCACCAACACCACTATCATATTATATACATGCCACTATCTACCACCAACACCACTATCATATTATATACATGCCACTATCTACCACCAACACCACTATCATATTATATACATGCCACTATCTACCACCAACACCACTATCATATTATATACATGCCACTATCTACCACCAACACCACTATCATATTATATACATGCCACTATCTACCACCAACACCACTATCATATTATATACATGCCACTATCTACCACCAACACCACTATCATATTATATACATGCCACTATCTACCACCAACACCACTATCATATTATATACATGCCACTATCTACCACCAACACCACTATCATATTATATACATGCCACTATCTACCACCAACACCACTATCATATTATATACATGCCACTATCTACCACCAACACCACTATCATATTATATACATGCCACTATCTACCACCAACACCACTATCATATTATATACATGCCACTATCTACCACCAACACCACTATCATATTATATACATGCCACTATCTACCACCAACACCACTATCATATTATATACATGCCACTATCTACCACCAACACCACTATCATATTATATACATGCCACTATCTACCACCAACACCACTATCATATTATATACATGCCACTATCTACCACCAACACCACTATCATATTATATACATGCCACTATCTACCACCAACACCACTATCATATTATATACATGCCACTATCTACCACCAACACCACTATCATATTATATACATGCCACTATCTACCACCAACACCACTATCATATTATATACATGCCACTATCTACCACCAACACCACTATCATATTATATACATGCCACTATCTACCACCAACACCACTATCATATTATATACATGCCACTATCTACCACCAACACCACTATCATATTATATACATGCCACTATCTACCACCAACACCACTATCATATTATATACATGCCACTATCTACCACCAACACCACTATCATATTATATACATGCCACTATCTACCACCAACACCACTATCATATTATATACATGCCACTATCTACCACCAACACCACTATCATATTATATACATGCCACTATCTACCACCAACACCACTATCATATTATATACATGCCACTATCTACCACCAACACCACTATCATATTATATACATGCCACTATCTACCACCAACACCACTATCATATTATATACATGCCACTATCTACCACCAACACCACTATCATATTATATACATGCCACTATCTACCACCAACACCACTATCATATTATATACATGCCACTATCTACCACCAACACCACTATCATATTATATACATGCCACTATCTACCACCAACACCACTATCATATTATATACATGCCACTATCTACCACCAACACCACTATCATATTATATACATGCCACTATCTACCACCAACACCACTATCATATTATATACATGCCACTATCTACCACCAACACCACTATCATATTATATACATGCCACTATCTACCACCAACACCACTATCATATTATATACATGCCACTATCTACCACCAACACCACTATCATATTATATACATGCCACTATCTACCACCAACACCACTATCATATTATATACATGCCACTATCTACCACCAACACCACTATCATATTATATACATGCCACTATCTACCACCAACACCACTATCATATTATATACATGCCACTATCTACCACCAACACCACTATCATATTATATACATGCCACTATCTACCACCAACACCACTATCATATTATATACATGCCACTATCTACCACCAACACCACTATCATATTATATACATGCCACTATCTACCACCAACACCACTATCATATTATATACATGCCACTATCTACCACCAACACCACTATCATATTATATACATGCCACTATCTACCACCAACACCACTATCATATTATATACATGCCACTATCTACCACCAACACCACTATCATATTATATACATGCCACTATCTACCACCAACACCACTATCATATTATATACATGCCACTATCTACCACCAACACCACTATCATATTATATACATGCCACTATCTACCACCAACACCACTATCATATTATATACATGCCACTATCTACCACCAACACCACTATCATATTATATACATGCCACTATCTACCACCAACACCACTATCATATTATATACATGCCACTATCTACCACCAACACCACTATCATATTATATACATGCCACTATCTACCACCAACACCACTATCATATTATATACATGCCACTATCTACCACCAACACCACTATCATATTATATACATGCCACTATCTACCACCAACACCACTATCATATTATATACATGCCACTATCTACCACCAACACCACTATCATATTATATACATGCCACTATCTACCACCAACACCACTATCATATTATATACATGCCACTATCTACCACCAACACCACTATCATATTATATACATGCCACTATCTACCACCAACACCACTATCATATTATATACATGCCACTATCTACCACCAACACCACTATCATATTATATACATGCCACTATCTACCACCAACACCACTATCATATTATATACATGCCACTATCTACCACCAACACCACTATCATATTATATACATGCCACTATCTACCACCAACACCACTATCATATTATATACATGCCACTATCTACCACCAACACCACTATCATATTATATACATGCCACTATCTACCACCAACACCACTATCATATTATATACATGCCACTATCTACCACCAACACCACTATCATATTATATACATGCCACTATCTACCACCAACACCACTATCATATTATATACATGCCACTATCTACCACCAACACCACTATCATATTATATACATGCCACTATCTACCACCAACACCACTATCATATTATATACATGCCACTATCTACCACCAACACCACTATCATATTATATACATGCCACTATCTACCACCAACACCACTATCATATTATATACATGCCACTATCTACCACCAACACCACTATCATATTATATACATGCCACTATCTACCACCAACACCACTATCATATTATATACATGCCACTATCTACCACCAACACCACTATCATATTATATACATGCCACTATCTACCACCAACACCACTATCATATTATATACATGCCACTATCTACCACCAACACCACTATCATATTATATACATGCCACTATCTACCACCAACACCACTATCATATTATATACATGCCACTATCTACCACCAACACCACTATCATATTATATACATGCCACTATCTACCACCAACACCACTATCATATTATATACATGCCACTATCTACCACCAACACCACTATCATATTATATACATGCCACTATCTACCACCAACACCACTATCATATTATATACATGCCACTATCTACCACCAACACCACTATCATATTATATACATGCCACTATCTACCACCAACACCACTATCATATTATATACATGCCACTATCTACCACCAACACCACTATCATATTATATACATGCCACTATCTACCACCAACACCACTATCATATTATATACATGCCACTATCTACCACCAACACCACTATCATATTATATACATGCCACTATCTACCACCAACACCACTATCATATTATATACATGCCACTATCTACCACCAACACCACTATCATATTATATACATGCCACTATCTACCACCAACACCACTATCATATTATATACATGCCACTATCTACCACCAACACCACTATCATATTATATACATGCCACTATCTACCACCAACACCACTATCATATTATATACATGCCACTATCTACCACCAACACCACTATCATATTATATACATGCCACTATCTACCACCAACACCACTATCATATTATATACATGCCACTATCTACCACCAACACCACTATCATATTATATACATGCCACTATCTACCACCAACACCACTATCATATTATATACATGCCACTATCTACCACCAACACCACTATCATATTATATACATGCCACTATCTACCACCAACACCACTATCATATTATATACATGCCACTATCTACCACCAACACCACTATCATATTATATACATGCCACTATCTACCACCAACACCACTATCATATTATATACATGCCACTATCTACCACCAACACCACTATCATATTATATACATGCCACTATCTACCACCAACACCACTATCATATTATATACATGCCACTATCTACCACCAACACCACTATCATATTATATACATGCCACTATCTACCACCAACACCACTATCATATTATATACATGCCACTATCTACCACCAACACCACTATCATATTATATACATGCCACTATCTACCACCAACACCACTATCATATTATATACATGCCACTATCTACCACCAACACCACTATCATATTATATACATGCCACTATCTACCACCAACACCACTATCATATTATATACATGCCACTATCTACCACCAACACCACTATCATATTATATACATGCCACTATCTACCACCAACACCACTATCATATTATATACATGCCACTATCTACCACCAACACCACTATCATATTATATACATGCCACTATCTACCACCAACACCACTATCATATTATATACATGCCACTATCTACCACCAACACCACTATCATATTATATACATGCCACTATCTACCACCAACACCACTATCATATTATATACATGCCACTATCTACCACCAACACCACTATCATATTATATACATGCCACTATCTACCACCAACACCACTATCATATTATATACATGCCACTATCTACCACCAACACCACTATCATATTATATACATGCCACTATCTACCACCAACACCACTATCATATTATATACATGCCACTATCTACCACCAACACCACTATCATATTATATACATGCCACTATCTACCACCAACACCACTATCATATTATATACATGCCACTATCTACCACCAACACCACTATCATATTATATACATGCCACTATCTACCACCAACACCACTATCATATTATATACATGCCACTATCTACCACCAACACCACTATCATATTATATACATGCCACTATCTACCACCAACACCACTATCATATTATATACATGCCACTATCTACCACCAACACCACTATCATATTATATACATGCCACTATCTACCACCAACACCACTATCATATTATATACATGCCACTATCTACCACCAACACCACTATCATATTATATACATGCCACTATCTACCACCAACACCACTATCATATTATATACATGCCACTATCTACCACCAACACCACTATCATATTATATACATGCCACTATCTACCACCAACACCACTATCATATTATATACATGCCACTATCTACCACCAACACCACTATCATATTATATACATGCCACTATCTACCACCAACACCACTATCATATTATATACATGCCACTATCTACCACCAACACCACTATCATATTATATACATGCCACTATCTACCACCAACACCACTATCATATTATATACATGCCACTATCTACCACCAACACCACTATCATATTATATACATGCCACTATCTACCACCAACACCACTATCATATTATATACATGCCACTATCTACCACCAACACCACTATCATATTATATACATGCCACTATCTACCACCAACACCACTATCATATTATATACATGCCACTATCTACCACCAACACCACTATCATATTATATACATGCCACTATCTACCACCAACACCACTATCATATTATATACATGCCACTATCTACCACCAACACCACTATCATATTATATACATGCCACTATCTACCACCAACACCACTATCATATTATATACATGCCACTATCTACCACCAACACCACTATCATATTATATACATGCCACTATCTACCACCAACACCACTATCATATTATATACATGCCACTATCTACCACCAACACCACTATCATATTATATACATGCCACTATCTACCACCAACACCACTATCATATTATATACATGCCACTATCTACCACCAACACCACTATCATATTATATACATGCCACTATCTACCACCAACACCACTATCATATTATATACATGCCACTATCTACCACCAACACCACTATCATATTATATACATGCCACTATCTACCACCAACACCACTATCATATTATATACATGCCACTATCTACCACCAACACCACTATCATATTATATACATGCCACTATCTACCACCAACACCACTATCATATTATATACATGCCACTATCTACCACCAACACCACTATCATATTATATACATGCCACTATCTACCACCAGTGACATTCATTAGTTCATAACAAAGTATAAGGTGTTTTGAAAATTTAGTGTTAATTTCTAGGACCTTCCCATCATTTTCATGTGTATTAAGTTGAATGTTTCAAAGTGATGTTGTTCAGTGACTTTAACTGTTATATTTCAGTTCTGGTATGGTTGATTTTTTGAATGGTTCCAAGGTTATACAAGTTTTCTTAACTGACAAAACATGTTAAGATTTAAGCTTTTAGAGAACAGAACTAACTCACATTTTTAATTTTGGTGTGTTTACAAGTTACCTGGAATTTCTACAAGCTCTTGAAAAGAGAGTTGACGAGGACTGGGATGGAATCTCTTTGTCTCTTGAGGAGATCCGCAGGTCCTTAATTTCAAGGAAAGGTTGCTTAGTAAATTTGACTGCTGATGGAAAAAATCTTATGGACTCGGAGAAATATGTTAGCAAATTTCTTGACTTGCTTCCAAGCACTTCCACTGTTGAATCAGTTACTTGGAACGCTCGACTTCCTTCAATAAATGAAGCCATTGTGGTACCCACTCAGGTAAACCATATAACTATTGGCCAACTTGTCATCTTTTTGCATTTCTTCCCTATTTACATTGGACTTGCAGAAACTGATGACTGCCATCTTGTACTGATGTCAATCTAGATAGACCCATGTATAACAGAGTTCACCACTTTCTATATTTATAGGTCAATTATGTTGGAAAAGCGGCTAACATCTACGAGACTGGTTATGAACTTGATGGGAGTGCATATGTTATTTCTAAGTACATTAGTAACACATGGTTGTGGGATCGTGTACGTGTTAGTGGTGGGGCTTATGGAGGCTTCTGTGATTTTGACACTCACTCAGGTACAATTTTGGGTTAATGTGTTGGCAGACGGTTGTAATTGTTAACTCTGTGTTACTCACACCTTTTCGATTTCCCATTTTAGGGGTCTTCTCATTCTTATCTTATCGAGACCCCAATTTGTTGAAGACACTTGATGTATATGATGCAACTAGTGATTTTCTGCGTGAATTGGAAATGGATGATGATACTCTTACAAAAGCAATTATTGGGACCATTGGAGATGTGGATTCATATCAGTTACCAGATGCCAAAGGATATAGTAGGTAAGTCAGCAGCCTGCTATTGTTTTTTTGTTCCACAAGTCATCCTGCTTGTCTGTATGTGATAAATCTTTTGCAGGAGGAACAAATTAATCTATTAAGAAAGAATTCAGTGAACTAAATAATGTTTAGAAGAACAACAATTGGTTTCTGTCCTCAATTGTTCTTAATCTCAGAGGTTTTCAGGAGAGTGATAAAATCTTGGGAAAAGTACAACTAAGTCCTACTTTTCTAACAAAAGTATCCACAAGACCTATAAACTTTGCAATATGAATTATCCGTACTTCTCCTCAAAATCTTAATGGTAGAAGGTTTTGGGAGGTTATGGATCTAATTGTTATGACATAAACCAAATCAAACTAAGCCTCGTGTCCCGATTAGGTAGGGTTGGCTACATGAATCATTTTTCGGCCTTTTGCTATGTCAAGGGCCATCATTGTGTTATGATAAATGGTATTGAGGGCTTAACAGTGGGAATGTATTAAAAAAGGAGAAAACTGCATCATCCCTTCTGAAGTTTTTTGCAATTGTGTCAGTCACTTTCACCAACAGTTGGTATTGTTTCAATCTTTTCATGTTTGTGTGTGGGTGGGTGGGGCTGGTGTGTGTGTGTCCTATGTATGTATTTGATATGTTCCTAGATGTTTTTCATAATACTCTCAAGGTGTTGACCTTGTAAGGTTCCTGAAAAATAAACAGAGTCCCTCATTATGTGAAGCAGCACCTGTCAGGATGCTAATAACTTTTGGACAATGAACTGTCATACATTCAATGGAAAAGGAAAAAGTAAAATGTAAGAAGGTGAAAATAAATTAACAAATGACTTCAGGGTTTAAAACTGGTGGGGAAGGCAGATGCATTGTTAGAGACCTCTTAGAGTTTTCTGATATCTTATCTTTCCTTTCTTGTTTCTTAATTTTTTGACTGGTGTTTGTGTAATTAATGGAATTCACTTGCCCTTTCAGTTTGTTACGGTACCTACTTGGAGTCACAGATGAAGAAAGGGAAAGGAGACGTGAAGAGATATTATCAACCAGGTACAAATTCTTTGGCTGTGTTTTCTTTGGTTTTCAGAATCAATTTCGATAGAATTTTCTGGAAATAGTTTTCAAAATTTGAAAATTTGTTTGGGTTGTATATCTTGAACATAGTTTTACAAATTTGGAGTTTTGTAGTTGAATAAATGGGTGTGAGAGTAAAAAAATGATTAAAACAAATTTTGGATTTTGAGCTCTCAAAAATTGATTTGAAAATCCAAAGCAAACAATAAATGCATTGTTGCCTTCTGGGTAATATAAAAGACAAAAATGCATTGACCCAGACTTGAGTTGTAAAATACACCAACCGACCATAGCATCACATATTGAAGCCTCAAATACAGTCACAGCTCATCTTGAAAATGTGCTGTTGTGATGTTTTAACACTAGCGCCTTGTTTGGTACAATGGAATGAAATGAAGTGGGAATGGAATACATGGTAGAATGGAATGGAATGTTCATTCTCTTTCCACTGTTTGGTTGACATAGTAAAATGATGTGGGAATGGAATGACCATTCCCATTCCCATGTTTGGTTTGTTAAGTAAATAGAATGGAATAGAATGGTTACCAAACTAATAACGACCAGATTAAATATTGTAGAACCATATTAAATTTAAAAAATAAATAAAAATTGTAAAAAATTCACTAATATGAACAAAATAATAAATTTTAAAATCGGATAATACTCACAATCATAATAAAAATATTTATAAATAACAAAATAAAAATATTCATTAACTGCATTAAAAAATATTCATTCTTTGGGGGGGAAATTTGGCGAGGCCTGAATTAAAAACAATTGAAATAATAGTTAATCAACATTCATTAAAGCAATGAAAAATTTTAAAAAAATAACATATGCTAGAATGATTGTAGTAAATACATAAACTTTATAAATAAAAAAATCATTAATGTCTTTTAGGCAAAAAATTTTTAATCTGTCAACCAGAAATTACAATCACTTGTGCAATGTTTATGCATGGAATAAAAATTAATTTTTCAAGTTAGTTCACACGGCAAAAAAAAAAAAAAGTAAAACAAAAGATACAAATCACTCAATCTTGTGTATGTGAAACAAAATTTAAATCAAGAAAAAAAAAAAGAAAGGATACAAACAAACTATATATGAAAAAAATTGTGATACATATATATATGTTCTATTTTACATAGAATATTATGATTTCATAGAGTTTCATATATATACATGCCTTGCAACTAACATGTAAATAAATTGAAACATAATTTAAAAATATATATATTGAACCTGGTAGAATAATAATCATGGAGTTATCTGTGGTTGATTGTTTAGTATGTGAGAGTATTCGTAGAGAGAGATTGGAAGAGAGAATTTTTTTTCCCTAAAACAATCATTTTGTTTTTTATTTTTATGTGAGAGATCATTATTTTGTTTTATGATGATTCCATGTTAGAATGGAATAGGTATTCTTACTTTTTGTTGGAATAGGCATTCTCATGGAATAACTATTCCCACTTAATCAAAGCATATCAAATGAAGGAAAGGGAATATAAAGCTAGAATAGGCATTCTATTCCATCCCATTCCATTGTACCAAACATGCTCTAGGTTTCTTTGGATAAAATTACTACTGGTTTGCAAGGTAGTGTGTGCATGAACTTTCAAGGTCTTAAAAAACCAGTATGCTGCCAATGCACTTTCACGAGTTCTGATAGAGAATTTAATTTTCTCATATCCTGCTTTTTTAATGAATTCTTTACTCATCGAAAAATATATATTTTACCAATATGAAATAACTGGGAATGAGTTTAAATTTTTTATGCTAGTATTGCGAATTCTCATTAGGAGTATAATCTACACTATTTCTTCAATGATGACTTTCAAAATTCAAATTATTCCATTTTTTGGTTCTATGGCATAGTTATAGAAATTATTCTGTTCAAAATGGCTTGAATCTGATTTGAGGCTTTTTTTTTTTTCCCCTTCTCCAAAGCTTGAATGACTTCAAGGAATTTGCGGGTGCACTTGAGGCAGTTAAAGATAAAGGGGTTGTGGTTGCGGTGGCATCTCCAGATGATGTTGATGCTGCAAACAAGGAACATTCTAACTTCCTTAACGTGAAAAAAGCCCTTTAAGTCCTCCCATAGAATTCCATGAAGATAATCAAATCTCATCCTCCTCTTTTCCCAGACAAGGTGAGATCTGCATTGTCGCATCTTTCTATTTTGTATCTTTTTTTTAATCAGCAAGTGAAATAATAATAGCAATTCTTGTGGCAGGAAAACATTTTTGCAGCATGAATGTAATTTTTATGTCCTTGAGTTACAGGGCTAGGCTCCCATTTTATTTCAACCGTAAATGGAAGAGTGAAAACATGTTGCAGTTTTCCTTTCCCCTTGTACTAACCAATGTACTCTGGATCTCACAAATTATCACTACAGTTTTATTTTACATCTTGCTTTTTTTCATTGTAATCTAAGTCATATACTATTGTAATTTTTTGGATCCAAGTGCTTAAAAAATTGGGTTATATTTCACCATATTGTTGTTGATTGTGTGGAATCCTTTACAAATCGTGGATTTAATTTGCAAAAATTGACAGGTTTGTTCGAGTATGAGGAGAGGCAAAGGTCAAACATAAGTAGACATCAATACAGGGATTTGTTTAGTTGTAGGTGGACCATCATCCAACAGGCAACCAACAGACCAGTCTGTTGTAGCTTTGTGTTTTTGCATGGACATGGACATTTAAGAACAGTTCTAGGTCTGGCCGACCTACAGTTATTAAAAGTTATTCATTTGTCCTGGGCATGGTTGGGTGATGTCATAGGAGTGTTGTGATTGGAGGGGTGGGCCTCATGACTTTGTGTTGGGGCATAGGAACAATAGGGGACTTTACATTTGGTGTCTACCTAGACCACCTAATAATTTTTGTATAGTACTCTCACCCATTATATTTCCATATTTTATTTTGTTCTTTTTTTTGTTCTTTTCTTTTTCTTATTTTTTTTTTTTTTTTTTTTTTTTTTTTTTTTTTTTTTTTTTTTTTTTTTGAAAATCATGTTTTATTTTGTTTTATAACAGGATTACAGACACAAAACCAATCATATAAAATAATATTGACTATATTATATTACATGGTGGAATTCATCCTAAAAAATACAGTTTTATTGAAATTGCATTACTTATATTTGATGCAATTAATCCTGTAATTGGTTGTGTTCGTAGGCCTATTGATCTATTTAACAGAAGCAATGGAATCCAATGTGTTGAAGGTAAATTACACTTTGTTCCTCTAGTATTACTAGTAGTTTCTTATTTTGAATTTTATAGTTTTTTTTTTTTCTAATAAAAAACAAAAAAAAGTTGTAAATTATATTTGTCAACTATATTTTTAAAATAAATAAAAATAATTTCTTTTTATTTAGTTTAAAAATGTCGATGAAAATTTCTCCCTTCCATAAGACTGCCATGTCCATGCAGTCAGTGTTTCATTTGCCTACACTTCCAAACGGTTGAAATTTTTTGCAATGGCCGTCACAAATATTAAACTTTGTTTTTGTCAAATAGAAAATCAAGGTAAAAAGTAATTTTATGCATTTAAATATTGGCACTATCCTCTTGGTTGTTTGTCTATTTGAGTTAAGAAAAGGGGAATTAAGTCAGCTAATTATTGTAACCTTAGGTTTCACATGTTGTTTTCAACTACAAGGTACGTTCACTTGCAATATTTATAAGTAAAGAGTAAGGGTCATTGTTTGGTATGAAGGCTCGCAGCTCAACCTAGGCTCAAGACTGTATTTTGGGTAGGTTGGCTAGATCCAAATGCGACTTGGGTTGGTGATGGGCCTAGTGTATGAAGTTTGTAGGGGGGTTCAAAGTGAACAATGATCAAGGGATGATTAGAGAGGTAAAACTATATTGATAATCCAATAGATGTGGGCTTGCAAGAGAATCAGTGGTTAGGTGAGGGTGTAGCAAGTGGTTCAAGGAGAAAAGAATGGTAGTGTACAAATGGGCAGCATCTCTCCAAATTTCCAAAAGTTCTCTCCTGGACCTTGGGAAATGGGTATTTATACGCTTTTCTTTGGCACCATAGGATGTCTAGTGGCCAAATAAAGTAAGGACATGTGTCCCTAAGAATCACATAGAATATTCTGTCTTGGACTACCAAGCTGAAGATGTCGTGTGTCTCTTTGCATGTACTATGTACTATCTGTTTGGCACAAATGCCTCAGCAAGTGCACTTGCGAGGGTAGTGTTTGCCATTGTATTTGCCTTCTCAGTTCAGTTTATTCAAGACATGCATTCTCAAGACTTCAAAGCCTACTATTAGCTATGTTCATATTCACCTCAGCGATGTCTCCACCCTTAGCCACTTAACCACAAACTCCCCAGTTTCCCAGGGCGAAGATCACAACTAAGCCTACTATTAGCCATGTTATGCCTTAGTATCAAGCCCGAGGGGGCTTCTTTGGTTTTACCTGTACAACCAAGGCAGGTCCATGACCTGGGTAAACGAGAAGGGGAGTCCCTTGCTTTTAGGCTACCCTACTCCCATTTTCATGGGGTTGCCGAGGCATACTGGTGTCTCTAGTCTTGCTATCAGCTCCAACCAGTGAGTTTTGTGGCATGCTATCAGCGCCAAACTAGTGAGCTTTGGGGTCTGCTAGGGCTATGCGTAAGATCCGATTGTTCGACCAAACTGCCCGACCCGAGGTGTCACGGACAGTTTTGCTGAAGAATACTGTTGGGACTTTCCTAACAAATTAAAGAGTCTCTCTCTTCTTGAGTCTTGGACTTTGGTCTCTCTCTCTCTTCACTTTTCTTCTTTTCTTTGAGATAGATTCATCTCTCTCTCTCTCTCTCTCAATTTTATATCTGGTGCTTGTCTTTCTTTTCATTCAATTCTTTCTGTTGATAGAGATCATGACGGTGGCGGACGAAGCAATAATAATATCGGTAGTGGCGACGATGAGCGATGGTGGTGCCGGTGTTCAAGAGTGGCAACAACGTTGGTGATTAGTAATGCATATGGTAGGTAAGACTTCCCCCTCTCTTTCTTCCCCTATTTTCTCTTCTCTACTCTCTCTTTCATAGATCTATAATTTTATGCATATGTATGTATGTATGTATATATATATATATATATATGAGTGACTTTTTTTTTAACTTTTTTAGTTCTTTTTTTCACATTTTTTTTCCACTATCATATCTTCGAAATCGATCGAACCATCCATGAAATTGATTTTTTTATTCAGTTTCGAACAATAATTCAGTCGAATATGGATGACTGGTTTTCTAATCCGAAGGGGTCGGTTTGGCTGACGGTTGAGGGGTAAACCCGAGCCGAACTGACTTGTGCACATCCCTAGGGCCTGCTATCGATGCCGAACTAATGATGACTTTGGGGGCTGCTATCAGCCCTAGGCTGATAATGCCTTGGGGCCTGCTATTAGCGTTGAGCATTAACTTCTACATGTGGAGGGGAAGCATTTCTCAAAGGCTGCTTTCACCTTGGTGGAGTCTTCTCTCCACAAGTTAGTTGTGGCGGTTATTTCCCATGGCAAGTTCAAGTGATAGCGCCAACAATACTAAAGATGGCGGTGCCGACAAAGTACCGGTTCGATGCAAAATCCCATGTAAAAACATATGCAAAAAATGTAAACCAAAACAACTAATTAAAAATTATATATTTTTATTTTAACTAATCATTTTTTAATGTACACTTTTCAATAATACTTTTTACTTTAGCTAGTCATATTTTTAAATATTAAGAAAATTATAAATAAAAAAAATTAAAAATGTGAAAATGGCGAAGTTGTTAGGTTCATATGGTCAAAAGACAATAGTGAAATGGTTTTTAACATGGAAAGTGTATGAGTCTTCAGAGAATCTCACTATGCTATTACCCATTGATTGACCATTTGGGAGCTTCTTTTCTTTTCTTTTTTTTTTTCAAATTGTGTCAAAAAGAACTTTTTTTGTTTTAAGGGGAAAATATTAGATAAATAAGAAACAACGAAAATAATTATAAATCAATGATGCAAGCGAATTTTTCATTTGCACCGAACATATGTCTCACTTACTTTTTATTGATTTACAATTTTTTTTCTCATTTATCTTTATTTATTTATTTTTATATATATACTTTTAATTTTTTGATTTTTGATCTATCATATCAAGAAGACTTGAAAAAGGTTCCATATATACACACACAAACCAATGAGATCAAATTTCCTCTGAAAAAAAAAAAAAGAAGCTATGAGATCAAAGGACCACTGTGGTCCTCACCAAATGCAAATATAGGAGTGTAGCTCATCTGATGATCATTAAGGCCTCGGAGCTAAAAGAAACCATATTTTAGTTAAATAAGTCAAAAAATAATAATAAAAAGATTAAAACAAAAACGTTTTCACTAACCAAAAAGGTAATTGTTGTAATAATTATCAAACGCATAATTTTATTTTATTTTTGAATTCTTAAAAAACTAAAAAATTAAAAAAATAATTCTGAAATTTCAGTTAAATTTAAATTATACCATTTAGTGTGCATGGTTTCAGCAGATTTTTAAAATTTGAATTTTTTATTTTTCGTGTTTTTTTTTTTATTTTTAGTGAATATTTTTTAAATTTTAAACATTTTTTTTACTTTTTTAGATGTACCTTATTTAAATGTATCTAAATAGTAATATATTTGTGATAAAATATTTTAAAAAATTAATAAATACACAAAAATATGAAAAATATACTTAATTTTTATATTTTTTGGTATTTAGTGTATTTTTTTAATATTTTTTTCACAAATATTATACTTTTTAAGTGTATTTATGTTAGGCGTGTCTAAAATTTTTTTTAAAAATACTTATAACATTAAAAAAATTCATTAAAAATATTAAAATACGAAAAATAAAAAAATAAAATTTTCTAAAAACCAAAACCAAACAAACTGAATTCTATTATTTTGCATATGTGTGCATACATTCATTCACCAGTTACAACCCACCTAAGCTAACCATATTATGGTCCCAAATTTAATGGATATCTGTGCAATAATACTTATTATGGCTCCCAAATTGCATAAACATAGATATATATATATATATATATATATGAAAAATGTTTCATTCATACAATTTTCCCCCTGCAATTCTCACAAATGAGGTGACAAGCAATAATGCAAGTTCTATATCAATTGGAATGTGTGTTAACTTTTGAAATTTTGCTTGTTACTTCATTTGTGGGGATTGTGAGGAAGAAAATTATGTGAATGTAACACTGTTATATATATATATACATAAAAACATTTACAAAAATGTTTACAAATTTAGGCTCTTTTTTTTTTTTGGTTTTTGTGTGTGTGTAAATATGTTTGTTGTATGCAACTAAAAATTTCATCTACCCACTATGATTGTTTACAGTCCTATCAATTATATAATCCATGGTGCAAATCAATGTCCCTCCCTCGCCCTTCTTCCATTGGTTTGGTGTGTGTTAGTACTCTTGCTTGCATAACAAAATATTAAATAACTCCGCTACGTAACTCCAAATATCAACGGTTTGAATGGTCCGAAATTTCAAATCAATATCGTTTTCGGATTTTTTATTTTATTTTATTTTATTTCCTTCTTTTTTCCTTCTCGTTTGTCTGAAGATCTAAAGATTGAAGAAGAAGAAGAAGAAGATGAGAGAAGAAGCTGGTCGCTAGTGAACATCATCATCATCAACAACATCTTCATCGACATCATCTTCATCACATCATCATCAGCCAATATATTTTTTTTTTCCCTTCACCTTTAGATCTGGATCTACTAAGAAAAAAAAAAAAAAAAAATCAACAACAAAATCTTCATCAACACATCATCATCAACAACAATAACAACATCACCATCACCATCACCATCACCATCATCAACACATCATCTTCATCTTCAGAGCCAAAAAAAAAAAAAAAGAGAGAGAGAGAGAGAAAAGAGCCTCGCCCCGCCATCACTGTCGCCTCTCTCTCTATTTTCATCTCTCTTCTCTCCTCTCTCTTTCTCCCTCTCTCTCTCTCTTGCCCTCCCCCTCTGTGTTCAGATATAAACGAGAAAAAAAAAATTGTCAAAACGACGTCGTTTTGAAATTCGGAGCATTCAAACTGTTGAAAATTCGAGCTCTCACGCATTTTTCAATATCAAAATATTAGTGTTATACTTACAAATAATATAACTGTATTTAGATTTATCATTTTAAAATGAGTGGTGATTTAGAGCACTAAATTTGAAGCTCTAAAAACACCACTAATGAGGTGGCAATGTAAAGAAAAAAAAAATAGAAAAATGCTTGGGAGCACTAATTAGTGCTCCCACTAATTAGGTGGCAGTGGGTCCCGTCATAAATGATGTGATGTTTTGGTCTTGGAGTTGTAATTTTTTTTATTTTTTTTATTTTTTTAATACATTAGTGCTATTAGTAGTGATATTTTTAGTGGGATGAATCATTGTTGAAAAAAATAAAACAAAACAAAGGCCAAACTATCACATCAGTGGTGGGGTTCACATGATGCCACATCATTAGTGGTGCATTAGTGGTGCTAAATTAGTGGTATGAAACATTTTTCTTTTAAAATAAAAAACTTACAACAATGATTCATTCCCCCTTTTCCCCCCACCCCCTTTGACCCCCTCTCTCTCTCATTGGTTACATTTTCTTTTTCTTTTTCTTTTTTTTCCTGCTCCTCCAATCACCACCCGCCACGTGGCAACGCATTTTTCAATATCAAAATATTAGTGTTATACTTACAAATAATATATATATACATATTAAATACAAAATAATATAACTGTATTTAGATTTATCATTTTAAAATAAAGAACTTATTAACATAAGATTAAATGGAGGTCAACGAATGATATCAAAACATTTTTTTCTCTTTTTTTTTTGTGTCAATTTTTTAAAATTATGTTAAAAACTGTAAAATTAATTACTATAATTTTTCAAATTTTAGGAGAATTTGGTGTAATTTACCCATAAAAGGACAAGACTCACAACCAATCACCAAATATGTATAATAGAAGTATAGGATCTATAAATTTAACTTAAATCATTTTATACTTGTTTAAGGATCGATTTTGTGATTGATTCTCCATGACATAGGTACCAAATAATGTTACAAATTAACAAATATATTAAAAACTTGATAGTATTATCTTTTGAAGAGAAGTAATGTTGTTGTCTCTAGTATACCAAATCCTTAAAATCCTTGACCAGTGATTTCATATATATTTGCTTTCAAAGGCCAGCAAGCTTAAAATATATAATCAAAGAAAAAAAACAAACATAAGCTGATGATCCATGACGGTCCTTTACATTAGTATCTCAATTATAGTTTTTTTAATTCCTACATTTGACCACCTGGCCGGCAACATCATCTCACCATCAATTATATATGTATCATGTTCATAAAACCATTTTATTCTTTCCTCTCTTTTTTTTTTTGCCTTTATATTTGGGTAAATTGCACTCACTTTTCTATAGATTTTAAAAATATATATAATAAATTTTAGGGCAAATTACACTAACAGTCTTTATAGTTTGAGACTCGTATCACTTTAGTCCTTAACTTTTCAATTATGACGCATTTGACCTTAAATTTTGAATCTTGTTTCAAATAAAGACAATTGAAGATATCGTTGTTTAATTTCAAGGATAAAATCGTCAATTTAATAAAATATAAACTAATTTTGCAAAAATAAATGTCAAAAAAATATTTTTAATTTTTTAAAAATTATTTTTATCCACCAATGATAAAATTATGTAAAATTGACAAAAATTAATAAAAATTACATGATTAATTTTTAAAAATTAATTTTACATGATCATCACCCAAACACATAATAAAAATTAATTTGGTAAATAAATAAATAAATATCTAAAAGATTTATCAATTTTACATAATTTTATTTTTAGTGAGTAAAAATAATTTTTAAAAATTCAAAAATATTTTTTTGATATTTATTTTTGTCAAGTTAGTTTATATTTTATCAAATTGACGATTTTG